ACCGGGCTTAGGAGGTTAATAACGGAATTCTCAAAGAAATTGCGTTTTGCTTCTGCAATTCCATGTCCTTCGGAGTATATGTACGGCGCACACAGAAGCCCTCCGTATTTGGTGAGTCCAGACACTTTCATTCGGCGAAGACATAAACCGGGGGTGTATAGTTTTTGAGTTTGAGCTTGGCTGGTGCCGAGCAAATGCAAATACTCTGTAATTAGTAGAACTGGAGCCTCGTGTTCGCCGGAACACAAGTTAATTGTCGCTCGGGTCAGTGACGCCGATCCATCGAACAGGAAAAATGAAAGAGACAGAAATGTGAATGAACGCCTTGTGAATGCCTTGAACAAAGCGAAGGGCGCTTCCCCCGACGTCCGTTGAAGTCCGAAAAGATATCTGACAAGTACTCTGCATACAACAATGTCAATAAGTAATCAGTGAGAAATAGGCCGCCTGCGGAAAAAAGAAAACCAGAAGAGGGGTTATCATGATTTGCGAGATATTATCTATATCGCATCACGTAGCACGTAGGTCAGCTGAGTACACACGTTTACTCTCCCTCTTCTCGTATTTGGATCTATTGGCGTCGGTGAATATTCTCTCCCTGCTGTTCTGGCGGGTCTTACAGGCTCTTGGTCCAGGCTTAGTCCTTGGAGCAGGTGTCATCGGGGAAGCCCAAGTAATAGTCCATTGATTAAACGGGTTGGACCGTTGAATGGTGGGTCGCCGTACCGGTCATCTGTTGTCAATGTATGGTGCGAAGGGATCCGAGGACGTAGGGCGAAAGGGTTTGATTACGGGCGGCACAGTCAGACGAAATAGCAACAACGACAAAGAATATCAAAATGCCACTTACCTACACTCCAAGTTACACCGGGATAGACGGAATGTCAACAGAGTTGACACTTTGTGTACTCTCGTCACCATTCAACAAGTGCCACATGACAATTGAGTAGTAGTTTCAAACAAGAACGGAGTACCCCAGAATTGTTGTTTGAAGAGACTGAGGAACGCCCACCCAAAGGAAGCGAAAAGGCGGTTTGTGGCACGGGTGTATAGGAACAGAAGTGATGAGCACGACTTTGTTTTGGCGTTTTATGAGTCGCGACTATTCAAATTAACAAATTGTCGCTGGTGGACAATATGAAGATCGAGAGGGCCCCGACCGAGGCCCGAGAAACGGTGAGTTTGAGGCCAAGCGATTTCGGATTCCGAATGATCAACAACGACACACAGTTTTCTTCGTATGGATGCCCCAATGAGAGAAATGGAAGTAACGAAGTGAGAGCTTTCCAAAAAGTTTCGGTGTGAAATTTCCATCAGAGGGAACATTGACAGAGAAGAATCAATCATCCGAGTTCCGGCTGAGTGGAATTGAGGTGTGCATGATATTGAAAGGCCAAAGTCCGGAAGATGCGCCGAAGTGTGCGAGAGACTTTTTTTGAGATGACAGTCGAAGTGAGAAGATGAGAACCATGCTAATCGTGCATATACGCATACGATTACAGATGACACTTTCATATGCTTTACGCAAACTGGGAAAAGCGTGAGTCTGGCCATCCCGGAGCAATCAGGCTTCTATGCGACCAATGGGCGACCTTTGCATAGTGGACGTGGTCAGAGTCGTAGAAGCTCAACTTGAGCAATCAATCAGAAGATTCAGAACGGAGAGTCTGATTGACCAGGATTTCAGTCATACGAGGGTAAACGCCATGCGCAGTTGGAGTATTCAAGCACCGGAAAGTTGAGAATCAAGATGAAAGGTTGGACGCGTCAAAAGCAAAAGCAACACGCGCGTCTGGGCCTGCGCCACTGTCTCAGTTGGAAGGGCGCCAAATATTACCAAGCACGTTCGACATAATGGAAGGTCTGTGCGGCGGCCCGCCGTCCGGAATGAGATCATAGATATGAAAGGATCGCCATCATCGGCTTAGAGTCACCACCATCTTCCAACTGACAGACCCGCAGCCTCAGCTGCGCATTGTCGAGCGCATACATTAACTCTATAGTCTTCAAGGAGGTTGTTCTCTGTGAAATTCTGCTTCTCTGACAAGAAATCGCTACAGAGGGCCAAGTCAACGACTGGACTCGACGTCAATTAAAAGAGCATCCTTCTCAAGTAAGGACTGGCGTGTTGGCTGGCTCTCTCTTCATCTCTCAGCGAGTTGTTCTTTCTTTCCAAATGTTCAAAGAATTTATTGAAATACGCGACCCCACAGTTTATCTTCCCAGCTTCGCTCAGGGTTGGACGTAGCTATCATGTCCGAGTCTACACACCTCACTCTATCGGAGCTCCCTCTGGAAGTGCTTCTTGATAATGTCCTGCCTTTTGTCCCTGCATCAGATCTACTCAGTCTCGCGCAGTGCAGTAAAGTAAGTGTTTATCTTCTATTGAAAGAACTACCCCTATACCAACATCATTCAGCTATTCGCTGTGCTTTGCGCCGATGACACACTTTGGAAGGGTAAACTGTCAGAGGACTTCAACTTTTCAGGACAGGGAACGGCTCGGACAAGCGGCTGGAAATTTATCTATAAGGGTCTTTTCAAACCACGAGGTAAGCGGGTCAAGGTTTATCCAGACTTGATGACAATGTGACCCCCGTATTCTAGTGTTTGTCTGGGGGTAAGTACGAAGTCAAAGTCCCGTCTCAGGTTATTTTATTTACGATATACTTAGTGAAAAGGCCAACGGGCGGCTTGGGCTTCCGCACGTACCCAGATCAGTTGCTCAGGGAGTCCCATATCCGATGCAGCTTCGATTTCCGGGCATTCGCATCGTGGGCTTGGTAGCTGGAGGAATGTATGATTCACTATCTACTATAAGCAAATATTCTTTGACTTCTAACGACTATTGGAGGGTAGGTCGTTTCACGCACTGGATTCCGATGGTAACGTCTATGTATGGGGTATGGCTTTTGGGTCTTTCCATTTTCGAAGTTTTCTTGATATCTTATTTTAGGTACTTTGAACGGTACTTGGGGGCCATATGCTGCGGACAACCAAGGATTCTCCAGTGCTGCAAAACAGGCAAGAACGCCTCACAAACTTAGTTTACCTGCCCCGATCCGCAGTATCAGGTGAGCATACCCATCGATCATATCATAAATGTCTGAACAAGACACTCATGTATTCACACGATGTCTGCGCTTATAATTAGTTGTGGACGTTTACATTCGTCATGCTTGGATCGTACAAACAAAATTTGGACGTTTACAAATTGGGGTCGGCCATTCAGGTTATCGTCGAAGATTTTAAACGATCCTGATTATGCGCCGAAACAAATTGAATGCGGATGGACTTTCTCTTCCCTGCTTACCAAGTCAGGTGATGTCTTTGTCTGGTGGCCCTTCGCAGGCGTTATGGGAGAATTCGTGGAACAAAAAATGAGAGATATGGACGGTGAAGGTGATAAGAGAGCCCTTGCAAGGAATGATGGTGTCATTCCTTGCATCGCCTGGGATTTGGACATAATGCCGACTCGCCTGCCTTCGATTCCCTCCCTTCCCGAATTACCGAACACGGGAAATACGCCGAAGTCGCAAAATGTCGAACTTATACAAATCGCAGCATTTGACCAACATATCGTTGGATTAACTAACCGCGGTCATGTCCTCAAGTACGGCGCTCTCCATGATGAAACCGGAGTTCCGAACGGGCGGTGGGAATACGTGAGTTTCGCTCCCTGTAAGAAGTTAAAGGAATCCATTTGGCTGAAGTTCTTTCCAGCTTCCACAATTCAGCGAGATCGAGAAGGTCAGAGAACACCCTGCTTTCTCAGATGCGGACGACGCCGTGAAGGTTGATGCTCCTCAAACGATGAAAATTACTCATGTCAGTCTCTGCTTCTTTTCTTCCTTCGCCGTGCTCAGATGCTTATCGATCATATTATTCCAAAAACCAACAGATAACCGCCAATTTCCTCCATTCGTAGCATATTCGACAGGCTCATCTTCGATTGTACTCATTGGCGATACGAATACAACTCCTGAGTCACAGCCAAAAATAATACCCCAATTGCAGAATAAATCCGTCATATCTATCGAGGTTGGCGACTATCATACTGCCGCCTTAACGGCCAACGGGAAGCTGCTGACATGGGGAGGATATTCGAATGGCGCGTTGGGCCTTGGCGATCCTCTCAAGCTCGAGCCTGGTACCCCAGGTGCATTTAGCAGCGAGAGAGATCGCAAGCTGGCCGAGGAGCGCAGGAGAATGGGCTCACAGCCACCGAATGTGGATATCCCTACCGAGGTCAGATTCGACCACAATAGCAAGAAGCCGAGAGAGCGCTTCTGTTTCGCTACCACCGCTGCGGGATGGCACACCGGAGCGCTGGTGATCGACCTCGAGGTTCGTTTCTATTCTTTGTTTTCTCATCGATTTTTCCAGGGAAATTACTTATACTATGTTAATATTAGCCCGGCGAAGATGAAGAAGACGAGGTCGGAAATATTGCCAGTGAAGACCGAACCCTTCTCCGGGACGTTCGAGGTGGGAGACACCTCCGATTATCCCGTTGCCTGGGATATTTCGCATAGGACACGCAGGCAGGGGAGGATTTCAACCAGGAATAGGCGGTCTGCCGCCTCATCCGAATCGGCCACCCAACCGGGAGACACTTCCTGAAAACTTCTCCCTGCCTCAGTATCAGCTGAGACTTAAATGGATAAATCAAGCGTGTACCATAATAGGAAGAAATATGCATATGACATAACATTTATTTCGTTTCTTGAATTCTTTGATCTTGGACGAGAATATAGCTACTTATTCTCGTCTTCGACTATTCTTGTGTACTATATGGTGTACATAATTTACTGATTCGAATCCGGAGATAGCCATGTATAATGATAAGTTAGAGCATTGGGTGCATTGTAGGTCAGGCTGCTATATCTCCAACAAGGGTATTCCATTCCAAAGTAGGTTTCAAGAAAAAGGTGTATCGAATTCTTTACTCGTTTCGTGAAGGAATATACAGATTGACGAATGAACAAAAAGTCACTTCCGGGCCTGACCGGGAATTGAACCCGGGACCTCCTCGAATTTAGGATAACCCTAACAAGGAATCATACTACTAGACCATCAGGCCGACAAAGACTTGCTCAATGGATCTTTATATGCACAAGATGCATTTAACTTAAAAACATGGCCAGACCTCCTCTGGGCCTTTGCGCTGCTCTTAAAACGAAGTTAACAACTAAACAAGCGCCCATTGGTGATCTAATGTTGATCTACTGCATACAAGCAAGCTCCACTATGAAAAGTAAGCAAGTCCACGGACATGTGGTTAAAATTTAAACGATCGTCGCAGAAAACGAATGAAGCTACTTGAAGCGAGTTAATATATTCCGAAGAGGAACTGGCATCCGACTCTTTTTCTGGAGAGAGTCAGAAGCAGCTCCACTTTCCCGCCTCATGGCATTTTCATCAACCCCATGGCCCATCGAAATGGTTGCACGCTTGTTGTCCCTGCCAGAGAACATCGGCCCTTTGATGATACGGCTCAGGGAATGTCTTCCTAGAGACTGGGTAGGCCGACGAGAACCAACGGGACCGCTGAATTCCGTCTTCATGTTCTCGGCTTCAGTAGAAGAGTCAGGCTTTGCTACCATAGAATTTCGAAGCGGTGATCCGATAGTGACAGAATGCGACCTTGCCTTGGGTTGGATATGTTTATTGGTTTGTGATAAACTCTTCCATGATGGTTTTTGCGTAACGGATAGCGAACGTTGGAACGTTTTCTTCTGATCCGAGGTCGCAGGCAAGGAGTTGCTGGTTGATGTCTTTGAACGACTATCTAGATGAGAATTCGCAGGGATATCTGGGCGAGAGGACGCGTTATTGGGGTTATCAGGAAGACACGGTTCTGAAGCGTCTTTCTCCAGTTCCCGGCGCGTCAAGGCAAATCGAACGCTCTTCGAAGGTCTCTTTACTTGAGATGCAGCATTCTTCACCATTGCTGAACGCAAGGGCTGGGAACGTCGGGAATCGTATTGTTGCGTGTCTGGATTCTTATTTCGGCGCTGGGAGGATACGCTGCCTGATCGCAAAACCGCCGAAATCGGATCCGGCTTCACTGCCGGTCGTTTGAGGTTCGGAGGTTCGGTCATATCTACGCGTTTAGATGGCGCAGTCAGAGTCGTCCGAAGCACTGGACGCTCCATGGAAGACTTCTTGGGATTGGGACGTTTGACCGCCGGCATTGTAATTTGTATTACTGGAAGCGCATGGTCCTCCGTATAACGGCGTCAGCAACAGCGCAATCATCGACATCGGCTGGTGTTTTCGTTTGTTCGACGGAGTCGGGGCCGACGGTTCCAAAGGTTTAACGGCGGAGCGAGAATTCCAGGATGTATCTATTGGAGGAGTTTGTAGTTCCATCGTCGACACTGCAGGCGGAGGTTATTGATCATTTCCTCGAATCGTAGTGTTGGTTTGTCCTTGGAGTTGGCATACTCGAAGGTGGGGCAGTGTCGAGAAGGCGATCCTAGGAATGCAGTAGGGATGTCGGGATATGGGAGATCTGGAGATCTCCTTTGCTCTCCAGGATGAGAGGAGGGGGGTTATTCTACCTCTCCGACGCGCTATTGTACCTAGTGTGCACCGAGACAGATCGTTCGAAGATTCCAAGGGTAACGGGAATGTGCAGTGCGAATTTGAGACGACCAAAGAAGGCAACGCGATTCTATCCAGCGAAGACTCGGCAGTGCGTGAGTTTGGTTCTTGTGGAAAGTCGTCCAAAAGTCCTTGAAAGAATGATTTGAGGCTGCTGAGCTCACGCATCATGTCGATCAACTCTGCGTCTATCGTATCTTGATGTTTCTCTCGCACAACTGAACTGTCCTTTTGATCGAGGGCCGGGGCAAACGAAAGGCCTGGCTGAATACCGTGACGACAATTCCTGGCCCTCGAAGGGCAAGCGAGAAAAGCTCAGGAGGGAAGATGGAACCTTCCGGCACCCAGTTGGTAGACGCCTTCTCCTGGATGCTCTCCCATGGAACGTGGCCAGGTGCTTGCCAACCTCCAGAGCTCTCCTTGAAGGGCTATAAGCAAAAGACATAATCGAAAGATTTAATTGACTTACAGCCCATTTACGGATACTCAGACATTCCTTGAACATGGATTTGAGACGTGGAGAGGTCGGAGCGGCAATCGTCACCTTTGACTGGACGTGTTGTTTTCCGGACTCTTCCTTCGGTTGCGATAATGCTGCAGAAAAGAACTTCAGATGATCGCCTAGTCCAATCATTGTAATATCTGGCGGCTTGCAAACCGGAAATGCAGGGAGGCTGTCGGAGGATCTGGTAGAGAGTGAATCTAGGGTGACCGTTTCCGACAACAATGATTGCATGAGATTAGTGCCAGGAGGTAGCCCAACATCCAAAGAGCCCATAGAAAAACTTGTCGCAATCCAGTGACCCGCCTTCGTATGGAGGAGGGAGGAATTCACCATCTCAGGACGGCTACAGCAGCCTGAGCTGGAAGTGAAGTTCCTTCAAAAGAATTGCATGGAGGCTGACGGAAAACATATTCTGTTCCAAAGCTTGCTCCAGTCCATTTCGATTCCGATAAAGTCTACGGACAATGATGATATTCGATCGCGACAACAGCGGTCGTATATATAAGTATCGCAAGCTTCCAGACGAGGCGAACTCTACAAATGTTGTCCACAAGTTTTCGCATTATACATAGCAGTTGCCAGTTGAGTACGTCGTGAATCCGTCTTGGATATCGATTTTCGCGGGATTGTCGAGGCCCACTACTTAGGTGGTATGGACTGCAATTCATGATGGGTCTCTTTCGATTTATCGCGAGATCTCCAGTGTGCATGCGGAAGAGAAATAATAAACCAAGGAAGAGACGTGGTCCCTGTTCAAGGTTTGCTAACAAATGCAAACACTCAATTGGTCGTCTACGTACATTTGTCTCTCTAAGACAAAAGTCACTGCGTTAACCCTCAATAATCGGGATCCGTAGCCCTGTAACTTCGCATAAGTTTCTTCTCGGAATGCACTTTGTGCAGACCTAGAACCCAGTCGCCTCGTGCTTATCGATATGGACATCAAATTCGCCAACACTCATATGGGCTTTACAATTCGATTTCTATCGTTGAATCCACACAACATTGCATATGCGATGAATTCCCTGAATTACGCGTTATGATGACTACATTATTGAAATGCCAGGCCTGCATTCATTCAACCATCCTCTCGTCGAAGCTTGGCTAGAGTGATTGGAAATGCCACTACCATGTCTTCTGGAGCAAAATCTTGCACGACCAAACCATGCACTATAGCTAGCAGTCGCTATCTCGAGATTTTTGGTGAGATATTCCTCTGCTATTACATTGTGGCCTGGATGTGTTTATCTTGCGTTCGGTTTAGACCACTTTGCCAGCGACGTGCAGTTGACACAAGCCAAGATGCAATTTTCTCTTCTACTATCTCTAGCTCTTTCTGCTGTCTGCCTTGTCGAAACGAGCCCAATAACCTCTTCAGATATCGCGCGCAACACTGCTAAAGGGCTGCGCCTTATTAGTTTCGCTGAAGAAGGCGAACCGGTATGGAAGGCGGAGGCCGACATCTTTGCTTACATCAAGTCGGGCATCCATTTCGTGAGTTTTGAAGTCCTCTGCATCTACTTCAAGAGACGATAATCGCTTCATAGTTCGATGTCAGCGAGGTATATGAGCCAGAGCAGAAGTGGTCAAATGTGAGCGCGAAGGCCAAAGCTGGAACAATTTCCTGTGCGTATATATGCTATTTTTCTCGATATCTAGCTCACAATACGATGAACAGATCCCGCGACTTTCCATTCGACTGCGCTTATACCAATTCTTGCGACTATTCCGCGGAAAATATGCAGTCCGACTTGGCGACTCTGACTGCCTACAACAATCGTTATTATAAATCTATGACTGGTGCGGCGGCTAGCACTTGGATCAAGGACAAGATAACCTCAGTAAGCATGCAAAAGTTCGATGTTTCTTTGTATTCATAATTCATTATATCTCCAGTATATTGTTATGTACGGTCGATCGGACGTGACGGTCAGCCTCTTCACCCACAACTGGGCGCAATCGTCCGTCATTGCTAAAATCCACGGCACAAATTCTTCTGGCGCCGTCATTATTGTCGGAGCACACATGGACTCTATCAATTTGAAGAGCCCGACCAATGGACGAGCTCCTGGAGCCGATGACGATGGTACAGGAACTGTTAACGTGATTGAAGCTTTCAGAGTCCTCCTTGCAGCAGATTTCCGCCCAACTGAGCCAGTAGAATTCCACTGGTACTCTGCGGAAGAGGTTGGCCTTCTCGGATCCCAAGCCATCGCAACTGAATACCGGAGCTCCGGAGTCAATGTCAAGGCATTCATGGAACTGGATATGTCTGGATAGTAAGTCATACTTATGATATATTTCCTTCCGAATTCTCATTTTCCCAGCTTTAAGCCCGGAACAAAGGAAGTCGTGGCGATTCAGGCGGATTACATCAACACAGAACTGAATGCCTTCTTGAAAGCTCTTATCACCCAATATTCAAGAATTCCCTGGGCAATGGATGCTCCTGTGAGCAACATTAGCCTTTTTTCAAGTTCTATCTCTTTTTACTGTCGTTCTTCCTTAGTGCGGATACGCTTGCTCCGATCATGCCAGCTGGCATAAGGCAGGTTTTCCATCCGCCTTCCCTTACGAGGCCATCACTGGCAATGACAATCCCAACGTCCATACCTCTTCCGACACCACGAATGTCATTGGATTCTCTTGGGCCCACTCTCTCGAATTTGCTAAGATTGGAGTTGCCTTTGTTTACGAGTTGGCGATCTAGATAAGTATTAAATGTATAAGCTATAAAATACCTCCGCTCATAGATGACTGCGCAATTCAATCTTGAGAGTTCCGTCCCCGAAAAAGAGCATTGGCGCTTAAGTATGAAAATTGTCATCAACCCAGCGCTTGTTGGATTCCCTTCAGGGTTGAAAGCCTTCCGGACTCACGGCCTCTTGGGTACTGATTGACCCAAGTGCAATCATAGCTATTCAAAGCTCAATATCTGACAAGTATATCTAATGAGTAGGCAAGCTGGA